AGGCTGTCCCAAACCCACCCAACCCCCTGCAGCCATATGGATCCCCACACACAGAGCCTCTGTGGACAGAGCACAACTCCCTAAGGCCCCTGGGATTACATTTTTTCTGCTGACAGCCTCCTCTTTCTCCTGTCGAGTGGCCAGTGGGTTTGAACCTTGAAGTTAGCAGCCCGATGCTTAACCCACTGTGAATCTAGAGTTTCCCTACCCTATGGCTTCTTTGAACTCTGCTCCCTCCTCAGGGAGGTGTGACTAGCAACAGCACCAGGCCACCCCCAGCTCGGGACATGGGAACCCCAACCCTGTCATTGACGCCCCCTTTAAAAAAGGAAACGACTCTTCCTGGAGGTTCTCTTGCACTCCGCGAACTTGCTGCGGAAGGGGCAGTGGGGAAGAGGGTGCAAATGTCAAATTCTGGAGAACCCCAGTAACTCCTACAGGAAGGTCATTCTGGATGAGAAAACCGAGCCCCATGGAAAAGCAGGAATTTATCCATGGTCTCAAGGGAAGTGGATTCCTGGCCAGTGGCCAGGGGCGAAGTCCAGTGTGCAGCTGCAGGAGACGTTGGAGGTCTTGCTCCCACAAAAGGAGGGCTTGGAGCACTTCTGTAGGCACCCTCATTCAGAACCTAAAGGCCTTCTGGGTTTTGCCAACCTAGTTTAGGTCGGAGGCACTGGGGTGCTTTGCATTGCTATTGAGAGGAGAGAATTCTACCTCGTGTCAGAAAGAACGGCATCGGCTTGTAACAAGGAGCAAATTGTCAGAAACATCAGGGATGGACAATGTGACCTGGCATTACTGCTCTACCTGGGAACAGTAGACACGCCAGGGTCCTGAGAACGGCACACCAAGGACCCAGGCGGCCAGGAGCTGAAGGCCACATTCAGAGAGCCCCATTCTCCCCATTGTCAAATGGTAGCTCAGAGGCTGCCGGTGACTGCTTTCCTGTTTCCTGGGCTGTGTCGTGGGCCCCCTGAACTGCTAACTGCAAAGTCAGCAGTTGAAACCACTAGCCAACTCCGAGGGGGGAAAGACAAGGCTTTCCATACCTGTAAAGAGTTAACTGTGTCGGAAAATCAAAGGGGCAATTCTACCCTGTCCTGTAGGGTTGCTGTGAGTCAGAACTGACACGTGGCAGGGTATGTGGTCTGGGCATCTAGGAGAGCCCTGGTGGTGTAGCAGTTGGGCACTGGGGTGCCATCCACAATGTGCCTGCTTTCCTGTTTGCTGGCTTGTCTCCAGGGGCTCCCTGACGCAGAGTGCTTCCACACGGAACTGCTAACTGCAAAGTCAGCCGTTTGAAACCAACAGCTGTTCCGTGAGCGACAACCAGAGCTTTTTATTGATTTGTTTGTTTCGAGTGTCCGCAGGAGGAAGCCGCCTTTCTTGCAGAGCCGGAGGGCTGCATACGCCCACTGAGCTGGGTCTTTTCCACTCTGAGTGGAGGAGGATAGACAGCAGCTGTTTGCAAGGGAGCGGTCCCCAGTATGTGATGCAACTAAGTCTACTTGGACCTTGAGCCTCTCCTCTAAAGAGAAAGGGTCATAAGGATGATACTGCAATAAATTATTTTTATTTTTGTGTCAGCTCTAATTCTTGATAACGTGGTATGTTAGGAGATCTGCTGCCTAAAACAAGTGGAATAGGCAGTGACAGTCAAAGGGCAAAACCATGACTCCAGGCCACTCCCTCATGCCCGGAGCTCCCTTTGCCTGGCACCCCAGGCTAACTCTGTGTCCTCAGGCAGCGTGGCTCCGGCTTTAAACCTCAGTCATCTTATCCCATAAAATCTGGCTCGGCAGGGGGAGGGTATTGGTTAAGTCTCCACAGAAGTGGGAGTGTGAGCGCTGACCCCACCACTGTGTGCCAAACTTCGAGGGCAATGTAACCACATGGAGCAACTCATGAACAGAGAGGCCTACAGGGCCAGCCCAATCGGAGCCCGACTGACCCCTCCCTAGAAGTATGTGCGACAGAGGACAACACTCAACCTACAGGTTGGGCAGAGGGGCTGGCCGGCCACACTCGCACGGAAGCAAACCGAGAAGGAAAGAGAGTGATGGAAGAGACCCCATACCAGAACACCAAGCCCCGAGGGTGTCCCTGCACAGAGAGGGCTGGAGGGCCAACACCAGCTTGAGACATGATGTCCCCTCGCTGGACCATACCGTGACAAGGGACAATACTGGGGACACATGGCAGGGAGTTAGCCCAATCTGAACCCCCCACCGCAGGGCGAACCAAGAAGGGAACATAACAGATCAGCAATGGGAGCAAAGCCAAGCCAGAAATCCTCTGAAAAGCCCCCAAAATAGACTTAGACTAGGAGGGACAGTTCCCAGAAACCCTTAGGACCAGTGGGGAGACAGTCATAAAGGTCATCCAACAGACTTGGAATGATGTATGCTTTTTCAGGGTTTTTGCTAGGTCTTTTTTCTCTCTTTTTATTCAATCTTTTTTTTGTCTTTCTTGTTTTGTCTCCATTATTGTTGTTTTGCCTACTTACCGTATATAAAATAGGCATGGGAAGCAAGCCTGAGGAGAAGGCAATGGGACCCATGGTCCCAGAGGGACTTGGGGGAAGGAGGAGGTAGGAGAAGGGAGAGGTGAGCAAACAATGCCATAAACGGGAACAACTAGGGAATTAAAATCAACAATGAGGAGGACGTAGAGATCCTGAGAGCTACAGCAATCTAGCTTGGAGGCATTACTAAGAGGCAGAAGAAGGGCGAGCATGATGGTGGGGCAGAAGAAAAGTAAAAGGAAACAGAAGAAAGATCTAGGAAGCAAAGCTATGGATAGAGGTATACACATAGGTGTATACATATGTAAATATATTAATTCATAAAAATGGAGGTATTGGCCTATGTACACATATTTATATAGCAAGACATTGAGGAAGTGGACGGACTTCGGGCCTCTACTCCAGTCCTCCCTCAACACAAGAACACTTTGTTCTAGCAACCTGGCAATCTGTGATGCTCACCCTCCCGACACAATCATTCTATGTCTAGAGTCTAGACAAAATGGGTTCACAAGCAAATGCAGTGAAGAAAGCTGATGGTGCCTGGCTATTAAAAGATATAATGCCTGGGGTCTTAAAGGCTTGACATTAAGCAAGAGGCCATCTAGCAGAGAAGCAACAAGTCTACATGGAAGAAGCACACCAACCTGTGGGATCATGAGGTGTCAACGGGATCAGGCCACAGGCATCAGAAGACCCAAAATAAACACATATATTGTTGAGAATGAGGGGGAGGGGGTTGGAGCAGAGACCCAAAACCTATCTGTTGACAATGGGACATCCCCTCACAGAAGGGTCACAAGGAAGGGATGAGTCAACCATGGCACTGTATGGCACCAATGACATACACAATATTCCTCTGGTTCCTTGAGGCTTCCTCATCCCTCCATCATGATCCCAGTTCTGTCTTTTACTTCGGGCTAGACTGGAGAATGTACACAGGTACAGGTAAGAACTCATGACGCATGGAGTCCAGGTCAGGTAAACCCCTGAGGTACAGAAATGGAATTAGCAATACCAGGAGGGTCGAGGGAAGGTGGGGGGAGGAAGGGGGAAGAAACTGAGGGGAAGGGAGACAGCCATGGGTTGTGGGATTAAAGGGAGAGGGGTTCCCCACAAAACATCACAGGTCCGGTAGATGCAATTGTACAGTGGTAATAAGTAAAGATTATAGTAAAGTCACAGAGAGCATGAGAGTTAAAAGATGGAGTCAAGTAATGGAGTCAGACACAATTTATAGTAGCATTGCTCACCTCAGCCCCGCTTGGTGGTCCACGTGGAGGGAGAGAGGATGGGAGAGGAGAGGGAGAACAGAGGGGAGCCAGAGAGAGGTCAGAGAGAGATCTATATTGCTGACCCAGGCCTATATACCTCTTGGGGGCATGCACACCCATTAATTACAGGTAAAGGCATACATCACAGAAGGGGGTTACACTATAGATTACACAGTAATGAGGGGGTGGTCTAGGGACATACATGCAATAGGAAGAGGAGGAATTGTGGTATACATGTGACAAGATGGGTGGATCCTAGATTTAGGATGGCAGCTAAACTTTGACCTGTTCCCTGGGTCTCCATAGGAACCATTATCAGTAGGGTGTAAACTCCACCTACAGGAGCCTGTCCATTGTCCCCAGTAGCAGGGAGCAGGCCCACCTCTATGATATGGGGAGACAGTGGTCTGGCAGCGATTGCAAGGATCTGACCTCCCCCCACAATGGGTGTAAGATATTAAAATAGTAATTTATCATTTATTAAGGGATCATTAGAATGGGAGGGGGGAGGAAGGGTAAAAAGGAGCTGATACCAAGGGCTCAAATAAAAAGTAAATGTTTATTAAATAATGACAGCAACATATGTACAAATATGTTTGATACAATTGATGTATGGATTGATGTATAATCTTAAGTACAAACAAACAAATGAAAAGATATTGTTGAGAGAAGGGGTCGGAGCAGAGACCCAAAACCCATCTGTAGACAATGGGACATCCCCTCACAGCAGGGTCCCAAGGAAGGGATGAATTATCCAGGGCACAGTATAGCACCGACGAACACACAATATTCCGCTGGTTCCTGGAGCCTTCCTCATCCCGCCTCCGGGATCCCAGTCCTGCCTTTCACTGTGGGCTAGACCCGAACATGTACACACGTACAGATAAGGGCTCACGACACACAGAGTCCAGGTCAGATAAACCCCTCGGGAACAGAAATGGGAGTCCAGATACAGGAGGGGTGGGGGGAGGGGGAGAGGGGAGGAAGGAGGGACTGATCGCAATGATCTACACATAACATTCCCCGCCACCCACCCCCCTCCTTGTCAGGGGGATCAAGAACAGAACATTCTTATTTATCAAGGGGCGAGGGTGGGAGTGGGCGGAGAGGAAGGCAAAAAAGGGGAGCTGATACCAAGGGCTCAAATTGAAATGTAAATGTTTAGAAAGTGATGATGGCAACCTATGTACAAACATGCCTGATACAACTGATTGTGGATTGTTCTAAGAGCTGTATGAGCCCCCGATAAAATAATCTTAAAAAAGAAATTAGAACGTGGCTTGGGAGGCCTCAGAGGACTTTCGCCAGACCGGTTGGGGAAGCGCTCGGATGAGATCAAGGCTCTGCTGCCCCTTCTCGTGCCAAGTTGGGGAAGCGGCTCTTTCACTCGCACCAAGAAGCTGCCAGAGGCCGGGGCTTCTGCCTCCCTGTCCGGCCCGCCGGCCACGGGCTCTCTCCATCCAGTCTCTGCTCTGTCCCTCCTGCGCCCCCAAGTGCCATGCTGCTTTCTAAAGGGCCCCCCACCGGCTTTGGGTCTCCTCTCCCTGCTGTTCCCCGGCCCCAGTGTCCCCTGGGGGTGCGGCTCGGCCGGGGCTGGAGGGTGCCAGGGCCGCCTGGGCTCGGGCCCTAGGAGGTGCGCACCATGGCGTACTCCTTGGGCGCCCAGAGCAGGCGCGGGCGGTGGATCTCCGTCCGCTGGCCGAGCTCCGGGCTCCAGCAGAACTCGGGCGACAGCACCTTGGCGGGCTTGTGCAGCCAGAAGTACCTGTTGAGGTGGCTCTCGTCGTGCCAGAGCGCCTCCAGGCCGCGCGCGCGGTCCTGCTGCATGGCCCGCGCGCAGTGCCAGGTCAGCGCGCGCAGCACCGCCACGCTGCCCCCGAACACGGCGGCGTGGTAGTAGAAGTCGCCCTCGTGGTGGGCCAGCGCGGCGGCCGAGCGCGGGTTGCGCTCGAAGGGTAGCAGCCTTCGCGGCCAGTGGTAGTGCCAGGCGTGCAGCTGCGCCACCGACTCGGCCAGCACCTCGGGCCCGAAGGTGGCGTTGAAGTGCTGGTCCACGTCCATGCAGAACACGAAGTCCGCCTCCCGGCCCAGCCGGCCGCCCAGCGCCTTGTGCAGCGTGCGCATGCGCTGCATGGACACGTCCTGCCAGCGCCGCTCGCGAACCACGCGCTCCACGCGCAGCCGGCGCCCGGGGCCCAGCGCCACGCGCGGCACGGCCAGCGGGCGCTCAGTGAACACGTAGTACACCACGCGCTGGCCCACCATGAAGTGCTGCTCGGCAGTCTCCAGGAAGCGAGCCAGGTACTTCTCCAGGTACCTGCGGTGGGGCGGGGGCAGAGAGGGAGGAGGGGATGGGCCGCTCAACCAGTTACCCACCAGCCCTTTGCCACAAACTCAGCCTTTGTCCTACCACCTCAGCCCCTGAGCTCACCCACCCTATTCCTGAGCACCAGCCCCGTTCTCCTGGCTCCCTTCCGCGGATACCACTGGCCATCCTTACCTCTCTAAACCCTCTGATCTGTTCCACTGCCTTAGTATTCGTCACCCCTCATATCTTCACTTCTTCCTAGCCAGCATGGACTCCTCAGCCTGTGCCCCTCTGAGCACCTTGCGCCTGCCCCTGTAGCGCTGACCTTGGATGGGCGTTGCTTATACCAGGCCCGCCCTTCTATCTGTCCAGTGGCTTTCCCCTCTCATGACACTCTCCTGAAAGACTTACCATTTCCTCATTACAAGCCCACCCATGCCTCCAGATGGACCAGCTCCATCACCTAGGCCATTTCCTCCCAGGACATGGTTCTGACCCCCTGGCTGCCTGTGCTGGTGGGCTTAGCAGTGTTGATGTCCAGAGACAGAGGTGGATGGTCCTGTGGTCACCCTGGGAGCCAGGGACAAGGGGTGCTGTTGTTGCCTCCCGCTTCCCCTTGGAATTCTATGCACATGAGAACAGGGCGCCCCCACCCCGTCCCCCCCTTCCTGGTTAGCACCCACTCCTCTCTCCAGGCCTTACTTGCCCACAGCAAAGACAGTCAGTCCGATGGTCAGGTTCTGCCGTTCAGCCGTTTCCTTGGCTATGGCTGGGTCAAAGGTGCCATCCCAAAGAATGAGGGCCCCCCAGGAGGTGCAGGTCAGGACTTCAGGCCGGGCCCTGGCCAAGGCAAGGGGTAGGGAGACAGGTTTATCCATCTGCCCACTTGGTGCTTGCTCACTGCCTCCTCCCCCATTCTGGGGCCTGGGAACCCACAGATGAATCAGACCCAGTCTTTGCCCTGAGGAGCCCCAATACAGGACAGACCCAGACAGGAGACTGGAGGTGTGGGCGGAGGGGATGCTAACCCCCTGGCTCTGCCATGATGGCATGGGACACTGGCATGGAGCTGTGTTGGGTAGTGAGTATTCTGGGAGAGGGAGGGGTGCAAACTCCTTACCTGAGACTCAGGGGACCCGTGAAGTTGTCTCTCAGCAGGGCCATTCGGGCCTTGGGGCACACACCCATGGAGATGAAGACCTCCAGGTCCCTGGGCGGGCGGGTGGTGGGGTACTGTGGTAAACCAGTCTGCCTCAAAAGCCCCCTTGCCTTTGCTCCTTCCAAGGAGGGAGGGCCCACAAAGACCATGGCTCTGGTTCCAGGTGTCCACCCACCACCCCTTCCCTGGAGGAGACACTTAGCAAGGCCATCTGTAGGGTCTCATTCTGATGGTTCCCCTGGAGTAGTGGGGAGGGGCTTGTACCTGATCGAAGCAAAGTTGTAACGGAACAGGCTGAGGATGCCCAGGGAAAAGAGAAGCAGCCACAGGAAGAATCTCCTCCAGGTCCTGGGAGGAAGGGTGCCATCAGCACTCATTGGCCCTGCATTCCCATCCCCCCTTTTCAACAAGAACATCTGCTGTTTATATGGCATTCAAAGGAGCAAAGGGCGCACCGAGTGAAAAGTCTGCCCTGTGCCCAGCTACCCAGTCCTCCGCGTGGAGGCAAACCGGTGCCACCAGTTTCTAGGGTGTTCTTTCAGGCATGGATGGGTGATGTCCACTGCCATTGAGTCGGTTCCCTCGCATAGCCAGCCTACAGGACAGAGTAGAATGCCCCGTGGGTTTCTGAGTCTGAAGCTCTTTACTGGAGTGGATAGCTTCACCTTTCTCCCTCAGAGCGGCTGGTGAGCTGCTGGAAATGCATCCCACCCTGTCACCAGGGCTCCACAGCCAGTGCGTATTCAGGCAAATATATACAGAGGCACGCTCTCTCTTCTGCTCCCCCCTCCCCCATAAAGGGCAGCACAGTGGGCTTGCTCGTGGGGACCTTGTGCTTCTCGGGGAGCACTGGATCTCCCAGATCACTGGCTCTCCACATCCAAGGAGCTGACAGAGCATCTTGGCTCTTTGTTTTCCAGCTCACGAGCTAGCCAGTCAACTAGACCCGAGAGTCTTTACGATTCTAGCCCTTTGACTGAGGGCAGGCTTAAGGGGTGGCAACAGTAGAGCTGGGGTGCTTAGCCTGGGTGGAGGGTGGGACTGACGTGGGACAGGAGAGGCTGAGGGGAGTTTGTGGCTTGGTGGCTGGAAGTTGTGAGCTGTCTGGGACTTAGAGCCGGGTTTCTGGGCTGTGTTGAAGGATGGCTGTGGTCAGAACCCACATGTCTGGTGGCTCTCGCAGAACCCCCGCGCTCTACGCCTGAACCTCGTTGGTGATGAACAGTGACACTGGAGCCAGGTCTCAGGTTTGAAGCCCAGCTCCGCTGTCACACAGCTTTCTGACTTGGACAAGGTTATGGACCGCTTTGTGCTTCAGTCCCTCATCTGGTAACGTGGGGCTAATAAGACTGCCTTCACCTATGGATTGAATTGTGTCCTCCCTCAAATACCCCGAGACCCGTGGCTATAACCCCATTTGGAAAGGGGTTTTCTTTGTTAGGTTCAGAGGCCATTATCGGGTAGGATGTTCTTTAAAAAGCCAGTCCCTTCTGAGTTATCAAATGAGCAGATTAGCACCGAGAGGAGGGCAGAGATGGGGGAAACTAGACACCGCTCTCATGAAGATCACCAGAATGGCCAAGGCATAGAAGCGGCAACGTGGCAAGGGCCTTTCCCCAGAGCCCATGGAGAGAGAGCCTGCGCCTAGAACTAACGCCCTGGGTTTGGACTTCTCACCTCCTAACAGGAATAGCACGTCTTTGCTTGTTAAAGCCCCCTCTGGTGGCCCTTCTGTGAGGGCAGCGCTAGATCTCTAAGATAACCTTCCTGGAAGCGTTCTCCTGCAGACAGACGTTGGGACGAGGCCACCTGGGCAGTGTTGGTTGGCTCAGTGTTAGCGACTGTGGTGGTGATGGCCACACTCTTCTGGAGTGCACTGTCATCATCCCTTGGGCACCCTTCCAACTTCACTGCTACACATCCTTCCAAACCCTGATACCCGAGCCTCCCTGCATCAGACTCTCCTTGCCCTGCCTTTTCTCCTACCCCGCCCCCACCCCTTTGACCATTCCTTGGCAAACGCATCTAGGAAATAGGTCAGAGTCAATAGGCTTACCATTGTGAGTTGGCTGGTGTGTGCAGTCTTAGCACATGACCCCTCTCCCTATCTAATTGGTGTATCCAGAGCCGCCCTCGCTCGCCTCTTCCTGTTACTCTGGGCGGGTGTTGACGTGACCTCTGTGGTCTCACCCCTTCTCTTCCTCTCTTTGGCCCCCCTGTGTTCATGGCTCATCCTTCCCTCCTCCCCGTCACCCCTGCTTGGCCACCAGAGCCCTCTCAAAACATCCCAGCTTGGCTCAGCAGCTTTCACACAATGGGCAAGAGCGACTAAGCTCCCCAAGAAGAAGCAGGATATGGACCACTCCACGTGCACGAGGGGGCGACAAAGGCTTTGTGCCGCATTCAATAAAAAGATCAGCTTTTCCGTGCACTTCTGGGAGCCCCCTCATATATAGACAAGCACTTGGGAGAACATTTCAACTTCACTATTCAAAGACATGCAAATCTGAGGAGGGTGGTATGATTTGCCAATAAAATGAACACTTGAAAAGGAAATAAATGAAAATAGCCAAGCTGCGAGAAGGTTCTTTATACTTGCTGCTGGGAATGAGAATCATGCTAGCATTTTTTGAGAAAAGACCTAGCTATAGGATTCAAGAGCTTTCAATATTCACTGCCCCGGATCCTCAAACCCCAGCCACCTGGAGTCTGTTCACAGGACACAAACTTCAGTAATGGCAACATTTCTGTAGCAAAGGCGCTCAACATATGATTGCATTCAACATAGTTTACATACTTAGTGGACACGAACACATTATCTAGCTCTGTGCTAGGTGTCAGAAGTTTAGAGGTGAATGATACATAGACACAGTCTTCAGGAATAGAGTCATGAAGATGTGTGTGTGGTTGGGGGGGGTGAGGAGTAGAGAGTGGGCCAGACGACAGGCAGAAAGCAGGTACGTAAAGCTCAGTGCATGCCTGGATTACAGTAGAGACACAAGGTGCACTGAGGGCAAGTCAATGGAGAGGGGGAGAGGGTGTGTGTGCCTAAGCTTTGACAGGAAAGCTCCCGGAAGGAGATGACCTCTAAACTAGGACCCGAAGAATTCGAAGTTGGACAAAGAAGGCCGGGCTTGCAAGGGTAGGAAGTCCGTGAAAGGGAAACAGCAATGTGCATAGCTAGGCAGTACCGGACACCTTGGAAGGTCCGTGAACATGCAGGGTGCTCTGTAGGGGTGCAGAGGGTTCACCTGCAGCATGCAGATATGGTTGAGGCTGCAGGACGAGGCCAGGTAAATAAGGACATGCATTCCAAGCTGAGGCCTTGAGGGCTGTGGGGAAATCATGAAAGGTCTTTCTATCAGAGAGTAATATGGTCATATTATTATTAGAAACCAGGTGTCCCAGCTGATCTTGTGAAGTTAGGCATGGTGGGAGTGTGGGCAGGGTCACAGGTGGGAGGCAATTTGGAAGTCAGGGAATCAATGGGGTCATGAACCAGGGTGTTGGTAGTGGGGAGGACTAGATAGCAAAGGGTGACAAGGAGGTGGAATGGCAGGATTGGCCCTTAATTAGAGGGTCAGAGGTAGGTTCTGGGAGAGCAGGAGATGCCTGAGTGTGCTGAGAGGTTCAGTAGAGGGTTCTGGGATCCACCAGGAGGGCATGGTCCTCACGGGGAGGGTGGGCTTGATTTGAGAAAGCGAGCACAGAGGGGAGCGAGGCCAGGACCCAGGACACTGGGGAATGGTGGGAATAGGAAGATTCTCCGTGGGCAGAGGAGTGGTGACAGGTATCGAAGTAGGGGCATGGAGAGTAGATGCTTCCTTCTAGAAGTCTGGCTGTAGGGAGAATGAGGCCGGCTTGTAACTAGAGGAGAAAGAGGGGTGGGGATTGATGGGGGCATGTGTCTATTTGTTTTCGCTTACATAAGGGAGACCCAAGGGTGGTGCGCTGCTGACTGGATGGCACCCACAGACAGAGAGGAGCATGAAGTCACAGGGGAGGCATTGTAAATGCAAAAGGCCAGCTGAAGGGGTTGGCTAAGTAAACTTGCTATGAAGTATCTGCAGTACTGTGGAAAAAACGGTTCCTAGACAGGTATGAGGGGAAGAAGGCACAGTGGTGGGGGGTACAAGGGAGACGATGTCAAGGAGCCCGTGTAGAAAAAGACTGTCTGGAAACCGATTGTGGTGCAATTGTACAATTGTACACTTCTACTTGACAGGATTGAGCTATGGCATGATATATGCATCAAATCCCAACGAAAAACAAAACGTAACTCAAAATCAGTTCAGGGAGTTGGAAAAAGAGGAATGAAAACAGCAAACCCTAGGAGAAGCAGAATAAATGATGGTACATTAAGGGAATTGCAACGGATGAGTTAAAACAAAATTAGTATGAATTGCTGAATGTCACGTTGATGTTCTGCTCTGTAAACCTTCACCGAATTTGCAAGAAAAAGTGAATGAAAAAAAGACAGGAATGAAAGAAAAGACCAAAGTGGGGGACAGCAGGTCAGAGACTCTGAAACTTTCTCTAAAATTTTGAATAGTTAAAACAAATGGGAGATATTATTAAGTGAAGAGCTGAACAGAGAACTTCAAAGGGCAGCTGAAGAAAAAAGGTAAGTAATGTGCAAAGGACTGGAGTGAGGGAGCCAACAAGGAAGAATGTACTCAGCATGTTCCAACCTGAAAGAAGCCCAGACATTGACGCACAACCAGAGTTCCCCCAAAGCAGGACAACACAGCGTAGACAGTGTGTGTGTGTGTGTGTGTGTGTGTGTGTGTGTGTGTAGGTGGGGCGAGGGCTCAACAGACTCATAACTAAAGAAATAGATCAGGTCATTAAGAAGCCACCACAAGAGAAGCCGAGCACCAGATGGTTTCACAGGGAATTCCACCAAATATTCAAAGAAGAGCTGATGCCAATCCTACACAAACTCTCCCAGAACACAGGAAAAGACAACAAACTCCCAAACTCATTCCATGAAGCCAGCATAACACTGATACCCAGACCAGGTACAGACCCCACAAACCTTGACAGTTTTATTTTATATAAATAAATTATAGACCAATTAGATACCAATATCCCTCATGGGCATAGATGCTAAAACCCTCAAAATCCTGGCCAACAGAATACAACAGCATACCAAAAAAATAATTCAGCAGGACCAAGTAGGATTCGTTCCAGGTATGCGGGGATGGTTCACTACTCAAAAAGCAATCAATGTAATCCACGACAAAAATAAGGCAAGAAATAAAAAACACACGATCATATCAATAGATGCAGAAAAGGCATCTGACAATATTCAACACCCATGTCTTGTGGGAAACAGAAAGCTTTCT